CATCGGTGCCTCCGTAGCATGCGCCCTGCCCAGGGACCAAACCCGAGACCTAGGCGTGTGGCCCGATGGGGAATCGAACCCGCTCCCTTCTGGTGTACGGGACGGTGCTCAGCCAGCTGAGCCCCCCGGCCAGGGCTATGCGGTGACTTTTAAACAACCTGGAGGAAGGTTAGTCACTAATTTACTAAAAATCGATTTTGAGAGAGGAGGTGGGAGCTTTCGAAAGGGACCTCAGTGTTTTGAAGGGTTCTCCCTGAAATCTCTCCCTGAACCCGAGCCCCGGCCCTGAAGGTCGCTCAGAGCCCCCCGCCCACCCCGCAGTCGGGAGCGGGCAGGTCTCGCCGGCGAGGCGAGGGGCTCCCGCGGCGCCGTCTCTGTCCTGGTTGGCGCTGGACGAGAATTTGTCGTAGGTGGTACGTGTTGGCGTCACTGGGCTCCAGATCCACCACCCAAGGTCTCTCACGGTCACTTCCAGCTGTTCAGAACTGGGTCTGAGCCGGGCTGCCCACCGCAGGCGCCCGCTGAGGTTTTAACCCCCTCCGGACGTCATGAGTGCCTAAGGCAGACGCAGGGCCGGCCCCAGCCCTGAGACCGCAAAGCCCAGAGGAAGGCAGGCGGGAGGAGCTCGCGCAGGAGTGTCGGCTTGCGGGGGCGGCTGGAACACCCGAATCCAGCCGCTTGACTTCGGAACCTCCTCCTGATGACCTCCCCTCCTTCCAGACGGTGCCCGAGGAGCTGCAGAACGGACGGGGCTTCGGGTACGTGGTGGCCTTCCGGCCCCACGGCACGGCGACCTGGATGCTGACGGTGCTGGCCTCGGCCGACGCCTGCCGATACGTGTTCCGGAACGAGAGCGTGCGCCCCTTCTCCCCCTTCGAGGTCCGAGTGGGCGTCTACAACAACAAGGGGGAGGGCCCCTTCAGCCCCGTCTCGGTGGTGTACTCCGCAGAGGAAGGTAGGCCCCCGCGGCGGGCCGGGCCGGCCAGTCCTGCGGCGCTGGAGCCTGAGGGCGGGACGCGAATCGGTGTCGCCCTGCTCCCTCGTGCCAGAGGCACAGCCTGGTTTGGGTGACCGTGGTGGGTTGTCCACCACCGGTCTCAGAAACACAGCACGTCCACTGTGGGTGAAGCCGGCGGCCTCGATAAAAACTGCAGGTTCCGTAGACAGTCTCCGCGTCGATGGGCACGTTGGCGTTACCGGCAACAGCGTTCTGTTCTGCCCTGGCCTATGCGCTCAGTGGTTAGAGCGTCGGTCTGTGCACCGAAGGGTCACAGGTTCAGAAACACTGAAATTTGGGGAACAGCCTTGGTCTAGACGCTTCTGTGCAGCCCCAGCTGTTGGGACCCTGACGCATGAATGACTCGTCTCAGGTCACACGGTTCGCTGTGTGGAACTGAGCCGTCCCCGGCTGGTCCAAGTCTCAGTCCAGTCAGTTGACCGTCCTGTTTGCTTCCTCTGTCATAGTCGTAGCCCAGGGACCAGGACTCGCTAGGACAGGTGTTACTGAGAAGGGCGTGTGCTAAAGGAATCGCCGACTTTGGAACTCGGTGCCTAAGCTTCAGTCGTCCCGGGTGCCGTTCCTCCCGCTTACCCCGATTGAGCACCCAGAGGCCCCGGCCGCGTGTCCTCTCCCCACCCCTCCCGCTGTCAGTCACGGCTCCGGTGCAATGAGGGTTTGCATTGCACCCCCTGAGGGCAATTCTGTAGCCTCAGCTTCCCGCTGACCACCCTGCCGAATCCAGGGCCTGTCCTCACGCAGCTGATGGAGTAACAGCTTTTCCACCCTCACCTGCAGAGCCGACCAAACCGCCGGCCAACCTCTTTGCCAGGAGCCTTTCTGCCACCGACGTTGAGGTTTTCTGGGCCTCCCCCAAAGAGAAGAACAGAGGACGGATACAAGGCTACGAGGTCAGCAGGAGATGGGGCTGGGGCTGGGGTTTGGGAAAGAGCCTCTCCCCTCCAGCGAGGCCCCCGAGACACACTCCCACGCAGAGGCCTTCGTCTGGGGGGCCTGGCTTCTAATGGAGCTTTAGTGGAGCAGGAGGATGCTCCCGCCCCTGTGAGACAGCCTCTCCGGGGAGCATTCAGAGATGTGTTTCAAACTACAGGGTGTCCCCCCAAAAATGTGCACACACTTTCACAGCTGATAACTCACTTAATTTTCACTCCTTTTCAGATTTTACTGATTAGAAATAATGGGTGAAGCCAGACTAAGCTTTGAATAAAGAAAATTTATCCTGAAGTGCCACTCGACTTTTTTTATGGGGACACATAAAAGATAAAGTTTATGGCACAAAACCAGCAACAGTTGGCGCATTGAGGGCACAGGTGCCACCTGAAATGATCCCTGACGTTGGCGATTCCACTGCTTCCCGTTATCGGCAGGGCCTGGACCAGAGCGGTCACTGGTTTGAAAACAGGTGTCGACAAAAATACTATCCATTTCTGTAGATTCTTTTAAATGTTGAAAACGAGCTGTGTGTTAATAAACACCGACCTTATAGCCATTCAGTGCGTACACATTTTTGGGGACACCCTGTATACGCAGGCCTGAGCGTTTATAAGACGCTTGGCGGGATGAGCTTAGATTCCGACACCCCCAGGGTCACTCAGGCTCAAAACAAAGGTAGAGAAACAGGGAGAAAGAGCCAGCGTTGCACCGATTCACCTTCTCACCGCGGGCTTCCGGGCAGAAGGGGCCCTCCCCGCCGTGGGCAGCCCCCCGGCGCCCTTGGCTCTAAAAGCTGTCCCTGTGGGTCGAAATTCACTTTGTCAAAAGAATCTGTGTTAAAAGACATATTACCTGCCCAAGGCCGGTGTGCCCAGCGGTTAGAGTGGTGGCCCGTGGACGGGAGGGTCTCAGGTTTGATTCCAGGTCAATGGCACGTACCTCGGTTGTGGGTTCGAGCCCCGGTCAGGGCATGTATGGGAAGCAGCCGATGGATGTTTCCCTCTCCCTTCCTCTCTCTGAATCAGTAAACGCATCCCTGGTGTGGGCAAAATAGATGCATTCTACTGGCGGAGTTAATCTCCTGCATGTTTTACTGGACGGCCAGGCCATGGGAATGTCGCCGATGGGTGTGATTTCCAGGGCCTCCTTTTCTTACTTTGTCAGGTTAAATACTGGAGGCATGGTGACAAGGAGGAAAACGCTAGGAAAATACGGACTTTCGGAAATCAGACGTCCGCGAAGATCACCGACCTGCGGGGCAGTGCGCTCTACCACCTCGCGGTCCAGGCGTACAACACGGCGGGGACGGGCCCCTCCAGCGCCACCGTCAACGTGACCACCAGGAAGCCGCGTAAGAGCCGCCCTGCCCAGGGTGCTCCAGGGAGTCACCCCCACCCGGGCTCACCCCCATCCCGCCTCCCGCCATCGTCTGCGTATGGACTGTCACTAGCGCCCAGCTCCCTCAGCCTCCTGTGGGGCGTCTCTCGACCGCGCAGAACCCGCTGCTTGGGGGACGGGAGGACAAGTCCCTTCTCCTCGCTGGGCGGGGCCGCTCCTCTCAGCTCCAGACGTGAGGCGAGCAGCCGAGTCTGTCCGTCTGTGTTGCTGTGTGTCGTCGGGTTTCAGGGGCCTTGAAGACACCTATTAGTTCAGCCGCCCATTAAATTGCCTCCGCTCGTGGGTTCCAGTGAGAGAGATTCCTGGGAACCCATCGAGACCTAACAGCCTGTGACCTCCCGTATCTCGTTTTTCTAGCACCCAGTCAGCCCCCCGGGAACGTCATGTGGAATTCATCGGACTCCAAGATCACCCTGAACTGGGACCAGGTGAAGGCTCTGGAAAACGAGTCGGACGTGAGGGGCTACAAGGTGGGTCGTCGCCTGTCTGCAAAGGCCAGCGGTGGGGACGGTCTCTTCCCACGAAGCACAGGGGCCGGGCCCCACTGCCCCTGACCACTCTCTCCCAGACTCTCTAGGAACCTCTGCCCCCTGCGTGTTGGCCTGAGTTTGGTGAACGGCCTGTGGCCACCGGGCAGAGCAAGCAGTGCCAGGTCAGGGGACAGGCTCTCAGGAGAGCTGGGTCTCACAGGCCTCCGTGCAGGACCCCTGCCATCCCTGACACGGGCTCATCCAATGAGCCACCAATCCAGCCAGACTCGCACCTGGCGGCTGGGGGACAAGGGGAGCCAGGGCGCAGGAGGGGGCGGGTGCAAGCCTCAGACACTTCCCTAGTGACAGCGACTGCCCCCTGGCATCCTCTTCTCTACGTAGCTCATAAAGGGGTCCCAGGGAGGACAGGGGGTGCCACCCTGGCCTTTCGGAGACCCTGCCCGGGTGCTGAGGTGTCCTCTCTCCAAGGATTCACGGTCCTAGGAACTCGCACCCCTGCATCCTCAAAGAGGAAGTCACCTTTCCAGGGGTGTTCACCGAGCCTTCCCAAGGTGACAGGAGGCCACACAGCAAGATGGCGGCCTCACACCCCCCACCCCACGCCCCCCGGCTGCCGCCTCCTTTAAGCTCTCCCCACAGGAACGGGTGCTGCGGACAGGCCCGTCTGCACTTGAGCCTTCCAGATGCCTGCGGGCAGCCTGACAGCCTGCGTGTCCCCGCGCATCACGGGCACCCAGCAGGGAGACGAGGCACTGCAGCATCGTCTGCCTCCGTGAGGACAGCAGGTGACACCTGTCCCTTCCGCTCGAGCAGGTCTTGTACCGATGGAGCAGGCAGAGCCGCACGTCTGTCATCGAAACCAACCAGACGTCGGTGGAGCTCTCTCTGCCTCTGGACGAAGACTACATCATAGAAATCAAGCCCGTGAGCGACGGGGGCGACGGCAGTGCCAGCGAGCAGATCCGAATCCCAAAGATAACAAGTGAGGACGTCCCCCTGCTCCCCCGGCTCTCCCCGCGCCTGCTCCCCGGGGCCCCGCCGGGAGGGGGGCTCGGAGGGACCCAGCCCCAGGAAAGCCCGTCACAGAGCCAGACAGCACCGCCCCGCCCTGACCGCCGACGTCTGCTGGTCACAGGCAGTTTCGTGCAAAAGGCAGTCTGACCAGTGTTGACCGATTTAACCTGTAACCCATCAGGGCATCGGCAACGCAGCCAGAATCGGTCACGCGGGTGCATCCGTGTGGCCGCGTCTCCAGTAGCCCCAAAGCTCGGCTCAGACAGTTCAAAGTGGGACTCGCTCGGCAGGACAAGCAGAGGTTTTCAGCTGGAGCTGTTGGTCTCTAGGGACACAGTGCAGTCCAGTGTCTTTGGCTGAAGTCATTGGAGCCTGACACTATTAATTTCAATGTGTGTGCAACATGTGAACATTAATGCACGTGTCTACCTAGAGTCGAGACCATCTTTGTTTACAGAGTGTGGAACAGTGTGAGAAACGGGGGCACACGCAGGTTTACAGCTGTGAGTGCATGAAACACAGTTTACTCTCTGTGTAACAATAAATAGTTATTATTTATTAACTATTTTAGTATTTTCCGTACAAACAACTATAAACCTACTTTTGCCTCACCGTTTCATTCTTGAGCAGATACACTCATTCCTATTTTCCAATGCTTTGCTTGCAAATAATCTCAGCAGCGTATTTATGGTTTTAGTTGAGTGATCACATTTATTTAAAAAAAACTAAAAAAAACAAAAACAGAATAGGCAGAGACAGAAATCAGAGTCGTGGCTGGCAGGGATTGGCCGGCGGTGAGAATTGTGGCTTAATGGGCACTGGGTTTCCGTTTGCGATCATGAGAAAGTTCTGGGACTACCTTCTCGTTCCAGTTGCTAGATATGTCAGCGTAGTCTTCCCTGGCCTTTGGGTTTAATAAGAGGTTCACAAAGGCTGGAGGTAGGGATTTTCAGGCCATCAGCGGAGAGACGATATTTTCAACCGTGGACAAGATCCTCTCCCACAGTGTCCTGAGTTTCATTCCCTCTGTAGAGCGTCCATCGTATTATTTCCCAGGCGTGGACAGGCCCTGCGTGTCCGACACCAGTTTACAGCAAAGCGTCCACTAAGCAGGCGTCATTGCGCCTGTACGCTGGGTGGCTGTCATCAGAGGGGCGCGTGTCCGCGGGCGGCTGCACCCTCTGCATCCTTCCCCTCCCCTGGGATCGATCGGCGTTGCCGGTGTTAAGGGCAGAGCAGGAGGGAGGCGGGACACCCGGGCTCCTGCCAGTGGGCTCCGAGCTCAGGAGGGATTCCCGGTTTCCAGGTGGAGGCTGGGTTACGGCATCTCTTTTGCCTGCGAACACTAAGGGCACCTTTGTCTCGTAAAAACCTGAGGAGTCCTGGGTTCCACACCTCGCTACGCCACGGGCTCTAACTTCTGCTGCAGGGGAGCCAGGGGAGCCAGGGTTATGGGGAGATAGAAGAGTAATCTCCAGGCCACAGAACGCAGAGAGGTCGGGGTTTGCCTTAGGGGTTAGTTTATCTCACGTTGCTCAAATCTGACTTCACCCCTTCTTATCGCAAGGACTCCTTTTCATTAGGCCGATCGGTGGTTCTTGGTTGAATCTGTTACAGAAACATGTTTGAGGCAGTTACATTGGTGTAATTATTAGATGGTAACGTTGTAACTGAGCAAAGCAGGGCATCCTTCCTCCAGAGACTCCGCTGTGCGGGCCGAAGGTCTCGAAATCCTGAAGGAAGCCCGGGTGATAGTTGGTCACCTCTCACTACGGAAAATGTAAGACCTATAGGGAAAAGTTTTAAAAAGGTTGAGTTTGGGGCTGTTGTTGTTGTTAAAAGGGGGATATATTTAGACGGACATGGGTGTGAATCTCAATTCAGTTAATTATGACTCTTGACCTTAGCCCAGCCACCTTCCCTCTCCGGCCCGTGCCCACACCTGTCAGATGTCGGGAGCTGCTGGGGCTTTTGTAAGAACTGCCGGAGCGCCCTGCGCCCCGCAGAGAGGCAGCACTCGGAAGGAAGCCGCAGCCTTCATATGCGCATGGCTGATACGTCCCAGCTCTCCGTAACGGTTCCTGTAATGTCAGGGTTCATTCTCCTGTGGGACGGCCTCATTTTACAGAAGCTTAAGTGGAGGCCCAGAGATGTCCCTGACCCGCTCCCAGCTTCACAGCGGGACGGTCCCAGAGCTGGCGTTGACGTAGGCGGGGGTTCCTCCCGGCGGAATCCGCCTGTCCTCCCGCGGCCTCGCTTCCCGAGGCGGCCAGGAGGGCGGCGCCGCGGTGACCGCGTTCTCTCCCCGCAGATGCCTACGCCCGCGGCGCGGGGCCCTCCACCTCCAACGCCTGCGCGCTCTCGGCGCTCAGCACGATCGTGTTCTCGCTCACAGCCAGGTCCAGCTTATGACGAACGGCGCCCGGGACTCGCTGTCCGCGGGATAAGCGACTTCCAGCTCGTTGCTTTGAAGACACCCAGGACTAAGTAATGTCGCTGTCCGAGCACATCTTATTCCTGGGGAGAAATGTTCTGCTTCTTTAGGAACGGCATTATCCAGGACTTCCTCAAGGCGGGTCTCCCTTTGTCCGCGGGGTCCCAGGAAACTCCGAAATGCACTGAAGACATCCGTAACGCGATGTTACCAAAGCAGTTTACATATGTCCTTATATGCATATTTTTTATTATATATTTAGTGTTTTATAGAATTTTTTAAAGTTAACATGAAATGCAGATATTGATTTTTTCCCCCGGCTATGAAATGCAGTGGGCACCGCAATCATGCAACTATCGTTTGGAAATATTTCCCTTAGAGACAGAGTTTGAAACTCGCCTCGCTCAGTCAGTCGCAAGTTGCCTGTGCGGCGTCACCGGATGGAGTGGCGGGCGGCCGGGCCTGCCCGGGACTCCCGGCTGCTGGCTGTGCGGGACTCTCCGGACGCCTCACGCGTTGGACCAGGTCCCCTGGCGTGTACAATGTTTTTCCGCTCTGTTGTGAATTTCCTTGTTCGGCACAACTCGCGATGGTTTCGGGAATGGCTGCAATTTCAAAACCTAAGCTCACTGCCCGAGAGGTCCCTTGTGCAATATTCTCGCTCTCAACCTAGCATGGACCGTAAGACTCTCCGCTCTCCTGAGTTAGTTGTCTCCGCAGTAACCTGATCTCAGACGTGACATCTGACGTTGCATATCCTGTAGTAACATAGTGACACAGACCAAAAGTTACTATAGTCAAGTCTTTCAGATGCTAAGAGATCATTTCACTATCTTTCAATGTATATGTTTGAATGTACGTTTTTTAAACAAAGGTAATTCTCTCTTCGCGGATTCATAATTTCTTTCCAGAATTTCTTATCTAGAATACGTGTATCTCTAATAATAGAGCCCCCCTTTGGAGTCAGACTCACGGCTGGAGTTCGGCAGACTTCTCTTCTTTCAGCAAATAGTTGCTGCAAAGACTTTTTTCCACGACCCTCTAAAAGATCATTAGTACAGTTGGTGTGGTATCTCTATGAATCTCCTGTTTTGCAGTCAGTAGCCTAGACGCTTTATACGCCTAACCTTCTAAGTCTTAAAATCACACGTTGGAAAGTGAGAGTATCAACAGAGACCTATTTGTTATAATGGGGGAGGTTTTGTAGCCGGTACTAGTGGACCAGTGCATATCAAAGGCAATGATATTTTCTACACAGATTTTCACCTGTAAACACGCTGCCACTTTTCCTCTTCCCCAGAGGGCTCAGATTTGCCTGCAGTTGTCATTTTTGCTTACCAGATAATACGTCTACTCTTTGACCTTCTCACTATATTTATGCAACCAAGTCATATTCAGGATTCCACTTGTGTAAAAACTAGGGTGGCGACAGGGAAAATACTGTCGGTATTTCAAGCTGTGTTCCTTCCTTAGTTTGATATGGTTCCTTCTCTGTTAAAACAAAATTTTAAATCACACACACACAAAAACCACCACAAAATAATAAAATGACTGAAAAGAAAAGAAAAGCCACCCCAGGCAGCCCCCAACCCCAGTGTCAACGGTATTTACCAGTGATCTAGAAGCATATGTAATCTTTTCTTAAAGCTATTGTTAATAAATATTCTGTCATTCGTAAAGATGCTTGTCTTTCGGGAGCCTTCTTCCTGCCTGCCTGTGAGGGACTTTGTCAGCTCACCTGAGCTAGTTATAGTTTGAGATCCCAGAGGGACTCAGACGCCTCTGGCCAGGATCCAAAGCTAGATGACCCTGAGCCACTCCTTTGGAAGTGACAACCCCGCAGACACCATTTCAAATCCCCTTTGCAGGTTGAGAGGGTCAAAACCCACAAATAAATGTCCTGAGATCAAACCTGAACACTTCCCCTCGATTAGCGAAATCCTGTATCTCTAATCTAAGGACCTCTGCCGTTTGGAGGTTTTCCCCACCCCCTCGTTAAAAAGATAAAACCTAACCGCGAGCATCTGAGGCCCTTTAAAACCTTCCAACAAGCTAACCCGGGCCCAGCCACACCGAGCCCCCCCAGCCCCGAGCGCGGCTTGCGTCCCGTCTCACCTCTGTGCCTTTGGGTCACTTGCTGCCCCTCCTGCAATAACCCTCCCCCTCCTCCTGCTCCCCCAGGCCCCCAGTGTCCTTGGCGGGGACGCCTTCCCCCACCCGGTCCTTTGTGACATCCTCGGAATTAGCTGCAAGTTCCCGCAGTAACGACCCAGGAACTCCTTCGGGAAACCTCTTGTACTGTGACCTTGCGTTTTCACTCAGCTCCTGTACTGTTTCCGATTTTCCTTGCCTGTATGCCTTGTCTTCCCACCTAGACTGTAAGCTCCTTGGGGGCAGGGGCGTTGGCCTGTCTTCCATGTACTCTCCATAGTGCCTAGCACCGTGCCTTGCAATAAATGATCCTTGATGAATTGATCGAAGGGGTCTCTGAAGTAGCATTTTGCCTCAGTTGCCCGACTCTGTGAACCCGCCAGGGAAGACTGTCACCACTTCCGTGAGGTGACGGAATGCGCTAGAAGGCCTGGCTTCTAACTTTAGGCCTTGAAAATCCTTCAATCTCTCAGCTCCCTGATCTGATAAATCGGACCCTGGATTGGCTGAGTCCCACGGGGCTGAAGATGCTTTAGAAAGTGCCTTAGAGGCACCTTCACCCAGTCGCGTCTGCCTGTTGGCTCCCGTGGTTACTGCAGGTTGGGGTCGCTGGTTACAAGCCACAGAACAGCTCTGGTAACTCCAGCAAACATAGCGGGTGACTCAGGTTAGATCAGGTGAGCCAGGGAAGTGCTGAGTAACCAGCCTCGGTGAGAATCAGAACCAGGCCCTCTGAGGACCCAGACCGCCGGGACGTTGGAAAGTCCTTTTGGGGTGCTGTCATGGGGATGGCTCAGCTCTTTTCCCATTGTGATGCCACGGTGCTCAAGATCCATGTTTCTAGAAGAGACTGATCAGTCCACTTTGTGTCCCTCAGCCAGAGCACCTTGATCATGCCAGACCTGCACTCCCAGGGGAGGGATCGTTTGCTAAAGGAAAATTGAGATGTTTCCAGAAGATGGGATAATGGATACTGTTAAGGTCAAAGCAACACACTTTCTATGCCCAGCCATCTGAGGGGACTCCCAGGCCCGAGGCCCAATTAATACGCTTGGGTGGATGTACTGTTACTTTCGATTGCTGCCAGGGACGCTGAGGGGTGCACGCACGTGGGAAGGGCCTCTTTGCTTATTTAGCCTTTTCAGATGCTCTCTCTGCCCCTCTTGTTTTGCGTGTAGTCCTGTGTGATTTAACTGTGTAAGAGGAAATTCTGTTTTGCCAGGTAACTGGATCCTCTCAGTGTTTCTCGTCCTCACAGAGCTCGCCCAGCCTCTGGACAACACGGCATCTTTCCAGGGGAGCAGACGACGGGGGTGACACCTTTCGTTTTCAGGTGAGCTCGGAACCCTTCCAGCCTGCGGAGCTGGGAACTGCCGTCAGCTTTTATCCTAAGAGCGAACGACCCCGTTATTCCTGCCGTCAGATGCTCCGTTATTTGCATCTGGGAAGCAGTGTCCCACCCTGATCAGCCTCCTCCCAGGTCTCCCGCGGCCCTGCCCTCGCTGCAGATGCGCTCGAAGCACGTTGAGCTGTAAGAAGTACACACACGGTGACTAGCTGCTAAATGTGACGTCATTTTTAAGGTGATATAATCGACCAGCAGGTGATTTCTATACACGGCTGCAACATCGATGCCACTGGCCTCCATCTTCACAGAGCTTCAAGAACTGACTGTGGCCCTGGCCCGTGTGCTCAGTGGTTAGAGCTCTGGCCCACACGCTGAAGGGTCTCGGGTTTGATTCCCAGTCAAGGGCACGTACCTGGGTTTCAGGTTTGATCCCTGGCCCCAACCTGCGTGTGGGAAGCAGCTAATGGATGTGTCTCTCCCTCCCTCTCTCTCTCCCCCCGCCCTCCTCCCTCCCTTCTACTCTTTCTAGAAATCGATGGAGAAAATGTCCTCTGCTGAGGATTAAAAAATAAAAAGGGCCACCCATAGGATAGGGCTGAACGTCCGAAATAGGGCTGAAGCCACTGATGCGCGACCGTCCCAGCCTCTGTTATGGGTCTTTTGCTCCATAGTCTAGTTATTAGGAACAGCGCAGACTTTACCGGGAAACACGCGCACCTTGGGATTCCACTAACCAAGAGGAGAATGTGTCCTTTATTTTTATAGATTTCAGGGCCCTTCACACCAAAAGCAGGAGCTGCAGATTTTCTTTTTCACTGAAGAGATGGAGACAAAGAGGTGACTCAACAGGCCCAGAGCAAACCGGCAGCTGGTCGGGACGAACTTGGAATTCTTAATTCCCTGCATCTGGCTCGCCGCCTGCTCTTTATAAATAAAGATTTATCGGAACAGCCTCAGCAGAGACCAGATGCTCTCACAGCTGAAAATGCTTACAAGCTAACCTTTTGGGAAGCCTGACGACCTTTGAACGATGACCCCAGTACTTTCCTGTTGATGTCTTTCCAGCACATTCCTCCCCCACCCCCACCGCCAGGTTTATGTTCTTTCCCTTTATTCCCTGCAGGGGCACATCTTTGCCTTTAATCTTAATAAATGAAATAAAGTAGTAACACACCTGCACGGGAAAGAATCACTAGAATTCCGGCGTTGGGCACACGGGCAGGTGGGCTGCGTTTGCTGCCCGACTCCCGGCACCGAGCAGGAGGCCGCCGGAGCCAGAGCCGCCGAGGGTGTCCTGCTACTTTGTTGCCGCCGAGGGTGAGTCCTGCTACTTTGTTACCATTTCATTCCCGCCGTCACTGTCTCCACAGCCCCACTGCATCCTGAGGCCTAAGTGGATACAGTTTTCTAGTCCATTTAGCCTGGTTTTCGCTAAGTTCAACCAGCTCCTACTTGGGGGTTAAATCCACAGAGATCCACAGGACACTGTTCTTGACTCTGAGTGTTTCTATTTTAAATAAGAGAGAAAGGTGTTAACGTAGCAACTGATAAAACAGGCTCCAACAGGAGGGACCCGGGACGGAGAGGGAGACTTCCTAGCGGCAAAGAGCCGAGACTTAGTGGATAAAATGTCAACGAGGAAAAGGGAGGTTGAAGAGGCTTTTCAGGCGGGGAGCGCGTCAGCGGAGGCGTGGAGGGCGCGAGCGCGCAGCTGCCCCTGGGGATGTGGCTGCAGAGATGCTGGCGAGCTCAGAGGGGACTTTGTGGAAGGGCTTTGGAAAGGGGGGTGACACAGGCGGATGTCACAGAACCTTCAAAGGAAGGCAGTGCGGAGGAGAGCGCAGGGAGAGCCTCCTGCAGCGTCCTAGCTGAGGGACCATGAAGATGGGAGTGGGGACGGGGGAGGTTTGGGGGCCACGGGAGAAACGTTCTGTTCAATACGCAGACTTAGACGCTTCACCGTCACTGCTAACATTTCTAATCCTGAACCGCATTTGCTTTCACATCTGTTACCTAAAACAGGCGCACTGGGAGGAAATAATGCGTTTAAGTTTAATATAATATTCTTAAAAAAAGGAATGGTTTTCAGAAAGCCTGTGGCTGGGAACTTGGCTGCAGGACCGGGAAGCAGGCACAGCTGCTCAGTCATTGTCACCAAGGCCCTGGGGCTCTCACACCAGGTCCCGTTCTAATTAGGTTTTTCGCCTCGAATGCCATCGGAGTGTTTTTGGTTCTGTTCTCACTTGCAGGGAGCTAGTTTTACTTTAACCAATTAGCACCTACAGTTTATTAATTCTACCAACAGATGGGCCTGACACATACGAGTCTCACCATGAAAAAGTTTGGATTTTTAATCAGAGTTCTTTGTGCACGTGGACTTCCCATGCCCCCCACTTCCCGCCCCTACCTGCACAAACAGCTGAGGCCCAGGGCTTTTCACCAAGGCTCAGATGGGCCAGCTGTCGGCAAACTGAGCCTCCCCAGCCCCGCAAAGGCCAGAGGATCCCAAAGGCCAGAGAGAGACTTGGCTCTGTCGTCGTGGGAGGGGTGCCTGGGCCGGGGACCCAGGCTCTGAGGAGGAAGCGTCTGCCCACCCTGTCCTGGTGGGAGGCTGAGGGCCAGTGTCCAATTAACTCACTGACGAGGGTGTTGCTGTTAAGTCCACTCTCGGCCACGACAAGGCCAGTGGCCACTTGAAACGTGCCACTTTCTCCCAGAGCCCAGCTGAGCCTCGTGGTCAGCAGAAAGAGCTGGGCCACAGAAGCCAGCGGTCAGGCGCACGTGCCTCCTGGTGGCTCCGGTCCCTTTCTCACTCCCGGAGACATCACTGGGCCTCGGTCTCTGCCACATGCCACCCGCTGCCAGCTCTGTGCAAGAATCCGTGCCAGGGCAGCGGGGGGTTAAGAGGGTCCGTCAGCATTTCTCCTCTTCAGGGTCATGCGCGCCCCTAGACAACACAGTAAGAGACGAATTTCCCAGGCACCCAGCCCGCTGGAGCACAGTCTGTGGGGCAGACACCCGGGCTGGACGGAGGGTGACCGGGGCACTGGCTCCGGGGGCTGAGGCTTCACGGAGGGGGGGACATGGATGTGGGTTCCCAGAGACGGAGTGTGGGTCCCGTGAGCCCAGCAGTAAGGAAGAGCTGTCCTAATGCCTGACACGCACGTCTCTCCTAAGTAGTCAAGAACTTGGGGGGAGCGGGATAAGATGCCATGGCTCCACTTGCTGTAGGAAAAACAGTCTGGAGTCCACGTCCATGGTTCCCTCCGGCTGGCGCAAAGTGCTTTCTCCCCGAGCTTTTAGCTTAAACACCACGCTGGCTCCGCGGAGGGTCACGGCTGCATTAGCCTCAAACACTGTCTCCTGCACGAAGACCCGTGAGGTCCGTGGCCGGCGGGTGCAGAGGTGCCCCGTGTACCGGGTGGGAAGGACAGGCACGACCAAGCGGTCAGGTGAGCCAGTCAACCCCGGAGTGAAGGAGGCGACTTGGATGCGGCGCCCATAGTCTGAGCGTGTGGCCTCGAAGCCGAATGGTGCCCAGTAAGTTCCGAACCCCCCCAGCCAGGACACAGCTCTCTCCCCATCGCTGAGGCAGGAACGGGGGCGCAGTCAGAACACCAAGTCCTCCAGGGCCTCGAGCCCCTGCTCTTCCACGTAGCTTATGATTTCACTTTCCGTCTCACCCGAACCCGTCTTCTGCAAAACAAAACACCCCGCCTTAGCCCTGTTCCAGAACCGCTCGCCTCTTCGAGCCCCTGTACAGTCGGTTTATACGTCTGTCTGGCTGCTCAAAATAGTAAATGTTCACTGGAGACTGTGGAAAATAAAGCGAAAGACGACAAGAAATACCCACAATATTCCCCCAACACAGCCCAGCCCGCGGGGCCTACTCAGGCCTTTTTGTTAATCCTCAAAAAAAGGATCTTTTTCTCATTGATGCTTTTTTAGAGAGAGAGGGAAGGGGGGGAAAACAGGGTGAGAGAGACGCAGGTCAGTTAAGAGACAGCGGATAGAAAATTTAATTCCCGTGTGACGGTGAGGACGCCTCACATCGAGTAGGACTTTCCAAGACCCAAAGACAGGCAGGAACGTATCTAAGAAGACAGCCAGCCAGGGAGCAGGAGCCACAGGGAGCCCCGGCCTCCCGGGGGAAGACCCGGCCTCAAAAGATGGAAAACCGGTGACCCAGGGACAGGCCCCTGGGGACCCAGCCCCGGGCAGAACCGTCAGCATCACCTCATAGTCGGCGGTTGTGGCAAAATCCTTGATGTTACTTTTTGGGGCTGGAACTGGTGGAAACAGCTTGGTCCATAAGTGACACCTGAAAACAGAGTAAAGGAGGGAATTAGGTCCCGAACGTCGCTCTAAACACCAGCCTCAGTAGCCGCAGGACCAGGACTCCAAACATCTGTGTTGTCCCAGCAGCTGAAGACCTGGGGGGCTGCGGGGCTCGGGGAAGACAGGTGGTACCCACTCCACACTGGCGCAGGGCCCGGGCCTAATTTCTGGACACGGAAGGTCCAGGTCATGTGCGTGGCGTGCGCCCTGCCCTTCCTCGCGGGGCTGGTTGGCGCCCTCTCCCCGGGCCGCTGCTCACAGAGTTCCCTTCCCCCTTCTCTCCTCTGAAAAGCCGCCTCCAGCCCGTCGCTGCCACCCGGGCCCGACATTTATAAGAGACACGGCTTCGAAGTCTACGCTCTGCGGGGGCTCGGGCGGAACCTGTCCTGGGGCCTCCCGACCGGCACGTGCTGAACACTGACCCGGGTGAGGAGGGCCGGCGAGGCCCGAGGCCGGTCACCCGATCTGCATGACATTTCCGCAGTGTGTGGGGCCTAAGAACCGTCAGCCGCTCGGGGGCCGGGGCCCGGGGTTCCCACCGGGGAGAAATTACGGGGATCTCAGCCCGTGGGCCGCCTCCCTTTGGCCGAGAGGTAAAAGGTGCGGGGACGGAGGCGGCCACGCGCTGGGGGGCGGCCGGGCCCAGAGGGAACAAAGGCGCGGGACCGGGAACCTTAGCAGGAGTGAAGGGCGGGCGCAGAGGCAGGCGGGGGTGCGAGGGCCGCGGCCCGGAGTCACCCGCTGGTGTTCCTAGGTCTCCGGGTGGTTCACACTCATCCCGGGCGGGTTGTCCCGGTGACGCAGGAGTGACGTAAATTCCCCCCACGCAAGGACCCAGGGGACTCGGCCAGAGGGTGAACACTGGGCGCTTGGCCCCGGGAGCCCGGGCGGGGATACCTACGTCTTGCAGGCGAGCAGCAGGGAGAACGCAGAACAGGTGGCTGCCACGAGCGAGATCAGGTACCACTCGGTCCAGGGCGTCCGCTCGTTTCCTGATGAAAACAGAAGGAACCGGAGCTGGACACAGGACGGAGAGTGTGGTGGCCGGGGCGTCGGCAGGCGGCGCGGAGCCGCAGGCGCCGGGCGATGCTGGGCCAGGAGCCTGCCCTCCTGAGCCCGGGCCCCTCACCTGCGCCCCCCGAGGGCACGCTGCCAGGAGGGCGAGTCAAATGCGGGCGGGGAGGCCGCGGCTCATCCCTCAGCGTCCTTTACTCGGCAGGGATTTGTGGGCGTTGTACGCACGGGAGTGGATCAGCTTCAGGGGAGTGATAAGATTTTATTTTGGGGCATTAACCTCGCCTGAGGGTATTTTTTCCATTGCTTTTCAGGGAGGGGGGAGATCAGCTGGTTGCCCCCCCACCTACCCCCGTGGGGAGCAAACCCGCAACCCAGGCCGTGCCGTTGACCAGAAATCGAACCCGAGACCCTTCCACGCGCGGTGGACGCTCTAACCACTGAGAACACCGGCCAGGGCGAAGTAATAAGGTTTAGATGGAAAAGCACAAGGATTCAGGCTCCTTGGTAACAGAAGCACGGCAACCAGACTGTCTGGGGCAGTTGGAAACCGGCTTCTCGCGGCGGATTTGGAAGGGACCCCGGGGAGCGAGCGGCGTGGGGCTCGGCCGTCAAGCGCGCTGCACTCGGGTCTTCAGGCCGCGCCCCCCTTGGCCCCGGCTCACAGCCGGGAAAGAGGCGGCGACGGGCACCTGCTCCGCCCGACTCGCCAGTTAAATGTGCTGCCAGTCGGTTTGGAGGAATCAACGGACCGACGCCTCCCGGCTCTGAGGGCAGCTCCACAGTCGGCCCTCAGGAGGCCCCAGGAAGCACACTCGAGGCCCCTGGGACCCAGCAGGGGTCCGTCAGCAGGAGCCGGGTCAGTCAGAGGTCAAGGTCGGCCCCGGGAGGAAGGGGGGTGATGTAAACTTTATCAGGGCCCCACACAGTCCCACTCGCGCCCCGTGGCGCAACACCCCGGGGCCTGCCCTGCCGGGGCCTGATAATAGCGCCGTTTAATTTCTAAGCGAGATGGCAAAACCCCTTTCCGTTAAACCACCCTCTAGCCATCCACTCAGCTCGCGCTTGGATAAGCGAAGGTTCTCGCTGAATTAGCAAAATATCGAGGCAACTGATTTTCTCCGTCGGATAAAGGTGTTGGCGCAAGGAAGGTCCGCGTGGGCGGCAAAGTCCTGGCGGCCGCTGGCGGGGAGCGGGGGTGAGGGGGGCACTTATTCACCCTCCGGCCTGGCTCCTGGGCTGTCCCGGGGCGAGGGCAGAGCCCAGCCCAGAGGACAGGGCCAAGGTCAGCTGGCAGGAAACACAAGCTGGCAGGTCAACCGAGGGCCAGGCGACTTTCTCATACTCACAGCCTTGTAAACAAATGACTGTGGATTCGCTGCTGCTCGGCTGTGGATTAACATAAAACACCGGGACTCAGACATAAAAACCAGTGAGCCAAGGACCAAATTTCCTCATACTCTGGACGGCAGCACAGAGGGATCCGGCCCCACAGACAGGACGTCTCTTCGGACAGAAACAACCAGCATCTCAGTGCTGTAAAGTGGGGGCACCCCGCACAGGTCACCGATTTGAATTCCGCGTCTATTTCCAGAGAAGCTGAACTTTCTCTGTGACTCAAGGAGAAACTCAAAGATGTTTCTTTTCAGGAAACCAGTGGGCTCGGCCGTGCAGCCGGGCAGAGGCCACGTTAGAAAGAGGAAGTCTC